AGTTCATCTACCAAATTGAATATATACGAGTCTAGTTTCTAACGCAATAAACTGTTTGTTGATAAGACATTAGAGTAGAGAGATATTCGCATTTTCGTGAGACTACTCAAGCAGCTCCCAATGGGACCCACTTAGGTGGTGGTCGACCTACTTCACTTTAAAAACGATTTGGACGACCTTTATTTCTCATTTTTCGACCCACCTCATTTCTACACTCCTCCTAATCCTCCAAAACATATACCATAAGGGTTTGAAGTGATTACACCATATTTCAACATCAAAAATTAGTTCTAGTGCATAATAACACCTCTTTGAGGTTGTGTTGTCATTGAGGATAATTGTGGATTGTGTTTGGATGAAATTTCAAGTTTTTGCTACGGGATAAAGTGAGTATAATAACCTTCTAATTATTCTTAAGCTTGCTTGTATGTTGGTTAAATTTTTAGGATGATAAACTACAAGATAATACTTGGATTAGCTTGAGATGTTGTTGTTCTTGATGGATTGATTTGAAAGTTGCTCTTATGAACTTTAAGTGGCTGGAAATTATAGAAAATAAGTTGGATATGATATTGTTAGTATGATTTTGTTGGTTTACATGTCAATCTTATTGAGGAAATTGGTAACTAGAAAAGGAAATGGCTATAAAGCACTTGGAAGTTGTCCGCAGTGATATTATCTTGTGTTGGGCCATTTCGGGTATCTTTAAAATTGAGTACAAGGACGAAAATCCTTTAAAAGTTATTGGTTATTATACTAGATATATTACTAATTTAAAATAGGGTTGAAGGATGTTAAAGGGATTCAATCCGAGCTTGTCGTGATATGTTGATGACTTGTTAATGAAATATTTTGTACCATATTATTGATGTTGTTATTATTGTATTTCTATGTTTGTTGTTATTGGTATATAGTATTGGAGGAGGACCTTGTTATAGGGGAGATGATGCCTAAATTTACATAAACAAGCTACTAGTTTAAGTTGCGGACTTAGCCTTTACTCAACACTGATTTTGAATCACTTTATGCTATGGTAAATTGAGTTGAGTTGTTTGAAGAATTGCTTGGAAGGTATTAAGGACTCAACGGAGTTAAGTTATGTTAAGGCTATCCCTTCTTTCCTTTTGGGCATGATCCATATGATACAACAAAATTAGCAAACACACAACTTTCACAAATAACTCTATTCTTAGAAGTACTAGGGTTGCATATGTTCTTGATTCAGCATATGTCCTATTATCATATCATCTGTTAATGGGTCTCAAAAAATATGTAAGTTGATAAAGTTTAGTTGTGATATTAATTGAAGGCATATTGATCTTATGACCTTCCAAGAGATCATATTGACTTACTTTATTAGGCATTGCATTCACTTATACATGTATATTGACCCATGACCAAATGAAGTTATATACGTGTATATAATATATGTATATGGGGTATGAAAAAAGGTTATGGCATTATATATGCACCGCCACCTGATCAGCTAGCATATGTTGATAATTTTGCTTGCTGAGGCTGAGATGATATGATGGGATTCCCTTAGAGGCTTGATGATGTTATGTACGCATATACCTATGCATGATATGACATTTATACGCATATGCATGACATCATAAATGTTTCATGATTCACAGAGCTATTCAGACTTACAGGTTGATTCCTTAACTCTATGTTTCTTTCATGTCTTTTATATACTGATTTTTATGCCTTATATACTCAATACATTATTCGTATTGACGTCCCTTTTGCTGAGGACGCTGCATTTCTTGCCTGCAGGCCCTGATAGACAGCTGGGTAGACCTTCCCAGTAGACAGAGTCAAACATCAGCTTGGTTAGTAAGCTCCACTTCTTCAGAGTTACCAGGCCTGGACCTTGGAGTCCATTATATATATACAGGTTTGATGGGTAGGTCGAGGCCCTGTCCCGACCATGATACAGTTCAGTTATCTCTAAAGGCTTGTAGTATTGTGACCTTGCTAGCCTTGTGTACATGTTAGTTTGGTATTGCTGGTTGTAGAAATTCATGGTGGCCTCATCATTCTTGATTAGTATTGTCAGCTTGCAGGTAGGCCTCGTCGGCCTAAGTTGAGGGTTACCCCTCTAGAGTTTACAGTTACAGAGTGGTACGCTCAGGCCAAATATGGAACCGGATGTCGGCCATGCCTCCCCAAGTTTGGGGACAACTAGTCTTCTTACTAGTATAGGGTACACCAATCCCTGATTGTATTTTTCCAACATAAGGTACACTACTTCCTAGTTGAGTTGAGCTTAAACGCAGGGTACACCACTCCCTGATATCTTTATTGATAGAACTTAAATGCAAGGTACACACTCCCTCATATCATTCCTAGACATAGGGTATACCACTCCCTAGTTTCCTTACCAATATAGGGTACAACAATCCCTAGCTGTGTTTTCCAGCATAGGGTACATCTCTCCGTAGTTGATGATAGTTTAGACATAGGGTACACCATCTCCTAGCCTCCTTACCAGTATAGGGTACACCAATCCCTAGCTGTATTTTCCAGCTTAGACTACACCACTCCCTAATTGATGATATTTTAGACATAGGTTACACCACTCCCTAGTCTCCTTACCAGTATAGTGTACACCAATCCCTACCCGTGTTTTCTAACATAGGGTACACCACTCCCTAGTTGATGATGGTTGGACATAGGGTACACCACTCCCTAGTATTCATACCAGTATAGGGTACACCAATCCTTAGTTATGTCTTCCAATGTAGGGTACACCACTCCCTAATTGATTGAGCTTAAATGCAGGGTACACTACTCCCTAATATTATTACCAATTGATCTTAAATGCAGGGTACACCACATCCTGATATCTTTATTGATAGAGCTGAAATGCAGGGTACACTATTCCCTAATATCATTACCAATTGATCTAAAATGTACACCACTCCTTGATATCTTTATTGATAGAGCTAAAAAATAGGGTACACCATTCCCTGATATCATTCCTAAACATAAGGTACACCACTCTCTAGTCTTCTTGCCAGTATAGGGTATATTAGTCCCTAGCTATATTTTCCAATGTAGGGTACACCACTTCATAGTTGATGATATTTTAAATATAGGGTACACCACCCCCTAGTATCCTCACCAGTATAGGGTACATTGATCCCTATATATGTCTTCCAACATTGGGTACAACTCTCCCTAGTTGAGTTGAGCTTAAACACAGGGTACGCCACTCCCTGAAATCATTACCAATTGATCTTAAATGCAGGGTAAACCACTGCATGATATCATTACTATTTGATTAAGTTGAAATGCAGGGTATACCACTCCCTAATATCATTCCAAATATAGGGTACACCGTTCCCTAGTTTTTACCAGTATAGGGTACATCAATCCCTAGTTGTATTGTCCAACATATGGTACACCACTCTCTAGTTGGTTTGATCTTAAGTGCAGGGTACACCACTCCCTAATATCTTTGCCAATATAGGGTATATCATTCTCCGACCATATTTTTCCAACATAAAGTACAACAATCCTTAGTTGAAACTTCATTTTAATAATAAAGGAACACCATCCCAATAAATAAAAGAAATCACGATCTTTTCAGGGTACACCATTCCCGAAACTTCACTGTTTTTTTTTTTGAAAAAAAGAAGTAGTTTAGAATTTTTGTTACAATAACTCATGAAGTTATCCTAGTGAAAACTAGGGCAGAAATATTTCGTTCATTTGTTTGGTTCTGGGGCCTGTGCAGGTTTTTACCTTGAGACACAAGGTTCGAGATGACTAAAAAAAGATTACTCAATACAGAATAAAGAAAATAAAAAGTAGTGAATCCAAAATGCAGGAGCAGATGAAAAAGATGAGGACTACTCAAGGCATGACTGAAGTCACGAGCATTGTAGTTTCCCTTTAGATAAGAAGAAGCCGTAGAAGAATGAACTAGCACCTGCAGCTAGCAAGCATCAAGGTTCAGATCAGAGTATGCATGAAGAACCAATCAAGACTCAAGATCAAGTTTCAGAAGACTTACAGATAGGAATCTTGTAACTCATAGCTGATAGGATTATTTAGTTTCTTTTGATTTTGATTTTGGTGTAATAAGGAGTTCAGCAAGCAGTAATAGCAGCGACAACAATGAAATCACAGCTTTTCGGTAGTCCCAGCTACCAGAACTACACTGACCTAGTTCCTTTATAGCCAAAGATATGTAGGAAACCTCGGAAGTAAGGTTCGGTCAAACTCTTTCAAAAATGCTTCCCATGGAGTATTAAATGGGCAACAATTATTCATAATTGCTCACTTTATCTTTGCCCAAAAATTCTTCATATCTCAAGCAAAGAGGAGCAGATGTGAGCACGCAATTTTTGCCCGATGACAAATTTGCTCCTTAAATATTCTGAATAGCTTTTAATTACTTTATAGAATTTTAGGAATTTTCTTCTATTTTTATTTAATTTGTATCCCATTTATTTGCATTTTCTTAGGCATAATTAGTAATACCTTAAATCAAAATGTCAAAATTATTTTAGTTTTCATTTTCGTTTCGCTGCATCTTAGCACTTAATTGCATATAGCCGCATTTCAAAAAAAAAACACATAAAAACAATGCATTAATTATTTTCATATCTCTGCACTTTTTATTTTGATTATTTAGTTTAACCCTTTGGTTCACAATGTTATATCAAGTAATTTGTTTTAGTAGGCTAGTTGTGCAATGTGAGTCTTGATTAGGATAAGTTAATGTTGAAAATTAAAAGAAAGGAAAGAAAGAGGCTATTTGGTCTTGTATTGAAATTGGGCCAAACATTCAAAGACAGCCCAATTGCGTCTCGGATCCGTCCAAGCCCCACAACCTAGCGGTCCAACCCCAATACTAAACCCAAACGACCTCGTTTTGGACTCCAGTTGATCTCCACCGTTCATCAGCCTAGATCCAACGGCTCGCAACTGATCACTCAAATCATATATTACTGTTTGAAATGCCCCCCAATCCCCCCAAAGACCTCACAGACCGTCTCTCTCACCCTCCATCGTCTTTGCCGCCGGAAATTGCCCCACGACGGCGGGCAGACCCCAAACGACCCCACAATCCCCACCTCCTTCTCATTACATATCGCTTTGTTATTTCCTTAAAAACCCTCCAGAATCTCTCAATTACTGGATCTAAGAAATTCTAAAAACCTAAATCCACCCCTTTTTATTTTTTCTCAAATCCTGGCGTGTTTGGGCTTAAAACCAACACCAATCGACTTCTCTCATTGAGTTTTACAAATTGGCATTATTTTGTCTCGTTTCAAGATCGCCGGCTACCGGTCAACTCACTATTGACAGGCCAGAATTTCTGAAATTCCTCTGTGGTTGATCTTTTTGGTTGAATTATGGCTAACATCATCGCATACATCATTAGTTACGCCCTCAAGCGTAAGCCAGTGCTCGTGTGGCGATGTCGGCTATCGTCCAGAATTCTTTTCTCTTCAGCCAACAGTGCTTCACATAGTAATCATCTACTTCTTTTCTTCCTTCCTTGAAGTTGCTAATTCTATGTCTTAGTTATTAATTATTAGTTCATTTTCAATTTTGGTTTGACAACATACATAGGTTAATTATTAATCACTAATAAATTTATTTTAACTTTGTAAGTAGTTATTTGCTTAATCTGAAGTTTAGATAGTTTTGGTCTTAAATGGCATATCTGTTTAATCAATACGTTAATTAGCTTGTGATTCCTGATGAGTTATGTTTGTTAGGCTTTGTTAGTTTAAGTTTAGTTAATTCTTTATTTAATGCTGTTAAGAGAAGGAAGGCAGTAATTTTGGTTAGAAGATAGTAAGTGTTGAGGTTAAAGGAAAAGGTTAAAAGAAGGGTTATTAACTAAAACTTGATGGGTCTAAAAGAAATAGAAAACTTGGAGAATCTTGGGTGTAACTGACTTGGAATCTTCTAGAATAGGGCAGTAAGGGTTGGAAAGCAATAAAACAGTAAAAATTAGGTCAAAAATGGACTTAAGGGTTAAAATACAAAAAGTAAAAGGGGCTGCAAAGAAAGAGAGATAACATAATACAACTGTGGGAATATTCTATATAACAGACTCTCTGACATTCTGCAGCCTCACGCAATTCACTCCCTATTTTTTTCGTTTTACTCTCATGCTCATCTGCAGACATCTTTCACCAATTTCTCTCATATTCACTCTCCCTTCACTTATTCATACAAAATTCACTCATTCACCTCATCATACTCAGAAACGCACACTCGTTTACATACACTTAGAGACCTCTAAAAACAGATTTGAAAAATACAAAAGCAGTGAAGTTTTAGGTCGATTTATATACTCAAAAACATTTGGTTTGTGTTTGTTGATTAGAAGAGATCTCCTACATGTGTATCCTGGGTTTCAAGCTGTTTAATTAGTAATTGAAGTTGTCTTCTACTGTTTCTCTGTCAATTAGTAGCCGAGCTTCAGTTTGTAGCTGCTCTCTGCCTTTATTTGGCTATTTTAATATGTATTTGCTGATGTCGATTGCTGAAACTTTGCTGATCTCTGTTCAAGTTTGTTTTTGGCCTTTGTTTGGTCTTTTCCTAGTGCTCTATAGCCCTGAATTGGTAAGTCCAAACACTCATGAATTCATGTCTTCCCTTGAATGAAAAGCTTTTGATTTTTATGAAATTTTGGATTGATCTATTGAATTCTCATGTGAGCATAACAACACGAACTGATTTGCATTCATTGTTTGCTATATAACGTGAGAAATAGACATAAAAGTAGATTGTGAAACTATGCTCTGTTAATCTCTGTACTGATTCTCTTATCTCATAATTTGATTAAACATGAATTCTAGACTCGACACATTTATTATATTTCGTTCTAGTGATTTTCTGTAGTAATTCATAACGAGAAAAGACCACTGTTGCAGCAGATATGGCGGTCGTTCATGGATTTGGCCATTAATTGGTCAAATTTGTAAACCTCAAAGTCAAAATATTTTTTCAGAAGTGTTTGGAGCCATTGTATTTCTCAAATAGAAGTATAAATTTTCATGTTGGGACTATAATATGATTTTTGGGCATGAGTATATTATATTATGTAACATAGTTAAAGTAGATGTTGAAATCTGCTCAATTCAGGACGTGAGCACAAGCATAAATGTAAGGATAATTATTGTAGTTGATTTTTATTATGTTTGGAACTAGCGTTAAATTCTTTCAATTTAGAATAACAGCTGTTTAAAACCAGTTGCTATAACTGTAATAAGAGTAATGTTTCAACTCTATTAGGGCTATGGGCCTGAGGTTAAGAGATCTGGAGCCCAATATGGGTTGTGACAATTCACTGGTGTAAAGGGACTGGGTGGGCCTGCCACTATTCAGGCGCAAGCCTAAGGTCACATGGGACGGAGGCTTCATTAAAGCCTACTTCATTATTTATCCTAGCACACCAATACTAGTAATTTTAAATACTGTAACTTTGCTATTATGTGTTTTCCTTTGGATTTGAACACACTTGCTTGAAATTATCTCATCGTCTGCCATCCTACATGCCAAATTCATAAAGCTGAGCACTGTTGTCTCATGACCTCTAATACGTTTGCCAACAGATTCTCGCACACACGAGACATTTGAAATTACTTAGTTATTCAACTTACAGTTTCTTTTACAAAGCATGGTCCCATAATCTTTTGACCTTGCACAATAATCCCAAATTAATGTAGAACAATTAACTCATGAACATTCGTAGGATGCTTTAGGCGCGTTTAATCTATTATTGTGATTGTGTACACATTCGCGTGACATAGTTATAATTTTCAAAATAAATCAAGGTACGCATTCGCGCGACTTTGACCAAACAATCTTAACAAATAAATAAAGTGTTATTAATTGTGTACACGTACGCGTGAAATAATTTTTAGCGCATTAAATAAAGACGGATTCATACACATGTGATTTGTTTTAAGATAATTTCATAACGCTATAATTAAAAACGGTAAAAAGTAAAACACATATAGGTTCTAAAATACGTAATTAATAATTAATTAAACCAAGTTATGATTATAAAGCGACTGCGCTAAAATCGCAAAATTCGGGAATGTCTAACACCTTCTCCCGGGTTAACAAAATTTCTTACTCGGTCTTCTGTGTTTTGTAGACTTTAAACAGAGTCAAATTTCCTTGATGTGGAATTTTAAAATAAATTGGTGACTTGGGACACTATAATAAATTATTCCAAATGGCGACTCTTAAAAATAAAATAAATCAATCCCATTTCAAATAATGTCACTTAAATTGGAAAATTTTCTTTCCCCGTAAAAAGGAGCTATGACAGCCATTGCCAAATCTGTTCGCCTACTTCCTCTTCGCTTTAGAAAGTCCACAATCGCCACTAAAAATGGCTGCTACGATGGTTGCCTTGATGGAAAAGGAAGAGACATTTGAGGGAGAAGAGAGAGGATTGAGAATTTTGCTGATAGAGAGAGAAGGAAGAGACAGCAAGAATATAACTGGCGTATTTCATGCCTCAGTGGTGAGATATAAAATAAATACCTATTTTGCTATAAAATAGAAAATGTAGCTATAAGTAATAATATTTTTAAAATTATTTTGGTTAATAATAAACAGGGTGTAATAGTTTTTCATAGGAGATAAAATTTCCTACTAATAACAGTTGGAAATAATAAGTAAGTATAGATCTGTCTGTAGACAACAAATTGCGTCGAGAAAATAAAATCAAGACCGAAAATATTGCAACAATCATAGTATTTTATTTTGAATATTTGAGTGTTACAATCTCTATGGATCCTCTGATTCTTCTTTCCAATTGTAAATAAATTCAAGAGCCTTTGAGCTTGATCTTGAATCTATGTTTGTTGCCACGAACGATGTTCTTGAATTCAACTAGCACGAACTTTGATTTGAACTCGCACTCCTTGAACCTTGATTTGTTCTTCGTTCTTGAGCTTGAACTTGGTTTGTTCTTCGTTCTTGAGCTTGGACTTGATTTGTTCTTCGTTCTTGAGCTTGGACTTGATTTGTTGAACTTGAACTTGATTGCTTGAAGCTCGAAACTTGGAGGAATTTGCGGTGTTTGATCCACGAGCTCTCTCTTGCTTCTTGTTATAACTTCTGGTGTCTTTTCTGGGTTATGAAGACCCCTATTTATAGTTGTGGAAGGGAAGAGTCATGATAAGAACAAATTCTTTCCGACCAATCAAATTGAAGTGTGACATGGCCGCATTTGATTGGCCAGAACATGTCACTTGCACACGTGGCGCGATTTCATTGGCCTTTTAGTGTGACTTGGCATGCCTTGTCATTTTGACACGTGGCATGATCCTATTGGATCTTCCGTTTGACTTAGCGCGTCATGTCATTTGACACGTGACACTAAACTGGACCTCTAGAAAGATGTCATCTTTGGCTTAATGAAGTGGGTTCATTACTTTAGCCCAATTAAATGGGCTAGCTCAATGAATTAAGATTTATTTATTTAATCCATATATATTGGACTTATATAATTAATTTAATTATATTAGCTGGACTAATATATTTAAAATGGCCCAAATTATTTTATTGAATTTATATTCAATAAAATTTACATGCCTACAAATGCCCCTACTTCAAGACTTGTCAAGATGTAAACTTTAAATACTAGGCTTAGAAGTATCTACAAAGGTAATTGGTATTTCAAGGATTCATTTACGGACGCCTTCATCAAATTTTAGCTAGAAATTCCTCAAAGAATTGACTTATATTGTTTCGTTAAAGGACACGCTTACTACTGGACCAATTACCTTATTAAGTTTACTGCTTTTGAAGTAGCACCTTGAAATTTGAACTATCTCAAAGTAATTACTCATTTAATCACCATGAGGTCAGTGAGTCTGCATCCCTTTTTTTCCACATGAGATTCCTTTTCAATTAGCATTCCATGTTATATGATGAAATCAGAAAATATTAGGAGACCTTCTGACACAGTACGCCAAATGCTGTGTATGAGAAAGACATGTTCTTTTCCTCTCCGTCTCTAATTAGGACACCATCACCGACGTTGCTCAATCATCTTAGGAGACAACCAAGCATGCTTGATATCCTTTCCTTATTAGAAATTGTTACTACCGTATTACAATTGATCCCACATCGGAGGAAGATTTTTGACGCGACCTTTCATAATCTATAAACCATACGTCCTTATTACATTAGTACCAATTTCAGTACCAATTTTAGTGTTTGCAAATTGCTTTGAATCTACTTTTGACGACTTGAAGGCATTGATGCGAAGGTAATTTCTTCTTCTTTTCTTGTGCTGTCTTCTTTTGTCATTTTTTTTTGTAGGTCAAACAAGAAGGGTCGTCAAGTACTAAGTCGACGAGCAACTCCATGACGTCCCATCGAAGGATAAATCCGCAACAACTTATAGACGGTTAAATCCACAACAATTTGTAGACGGGCGAATCTTGCAACAACTCATAGACAAATCAATTTGCAATAACTTATAGACGGATAAATCCATAACAACTTATAGATGGATAAATCTCCATCATCATATAGACGGACAAATCCACATCAACATATATGGACAAATCCACATCAACATATAGACGGACAAATTCACATCAACATATAGACGGAAAAATCCACATCAACGTATAGACGGACAAATTTCCATCACCATATAGATGGACAAATTCACATCAACATATAGACGAACCAATCCACATAAATATTTATGGACGGACAAATCCACATCAACATATAGACGGACATATCCACCTCAATATATAGACGGACAAACCCACATCACCATATAGACGGATAAATCCTCATCACCATATAGATGGACAAATCCGTGAAGAGACCAAGGTGCAAAGGGGCTTATATGTCCACCTTAAGATTGGAAAGTTATAAAGCTTCAACTCGAAGACTTCATGGACTTAACGACGTCGACTTGAACACTTGGAAAACTTTGAAGATTTAGCGGACTTTGCAGACTTCAACTTGAAGACTACCAAACTTGAAGATTCGGCGGACTTTGATGTTTCAATCTGAAAAATTTGAGGGCTCAAATACTTCCACTTGAAGACCAACGAGTTTGAAGACCTCAACTTGAAGACTTCAACTTGGAGACCTGGAGGGCTTAGATATCTCAACTTGAAGGGTGGCGAACGTGAAGACTTTAACTTAAAGACCGACGGACTTGAAGATTTCAACTTGGAGACTTCGAGGGCTTAAACAACTCAACTTGAATTCTGGTGAACTTAAGGACTTCAACTTGAAGGCCGATGGACTTGGAGGGCTTGAATACTTCAACTTAAAGACTGCGGATTTGCAGACTTCAACTTGAAGACAAAAATTTTGAAGGTTTGGCAAATTTGAAGGCATGACGAATCACCAGGCTTCATTGCAAATACTTGGTAGCCTCCTAAAAGACTATAATTATTCCATTGAAGACACCAATTTACCATGGAAGCTTGCCCCTTTTAAATCAAATGAGATCAATGTTTAACAGGAGGATGGCGTTTCAGCTTGATTTTACATTTCTCCATACTTCACTTGGACAACAATTGGGGCAATATGTATCTTTTGAACTTATGCGACTGAACTTAGAATGAAACTCTAAGCTGCCTACGTACCTCGGTGAAGAGGATCAAGTCATATCGTAGTTCAGACTGGGTGATTTTTTTTATGTCCTAACTTTTGCCTAGGCCGCCTCTTTCGAAGTTTTCAACCTAGTGGATTCTTTTTTTTTGTAGGGGCCATACACAGTTTAGACTCATGCAGTCCAGGAGTGTAGCAATATACAGTTTAGGTTCATGCGTCAAAGAGCGTCATGACTTGCAGTTTAGGCTCGTACGTCGAGGAGCGTCGCAATTTCAAGGATAATACTTCTTTAAGAATTTGCCATAGATATGGCGATTCTCATACCATCTGCATCAACCAACTTGTAAGTCCCACTTGAGTAAGCTTCTTGTACGATGTATAGCCCATCCCATTTTGAAGTGAACTTCCTTACAGGTTTATGGGAAGTAATTATGGGTCTTCGTACGGTAAGGACTTGATCTCCTACTTGAAAGGATCTCGGGCGAACTCTTTTATTGAAGGCGCGAGATAATCGAGCTTGATAACATTCAAGACTCTGTTGAGCTTCCAACCTCTTCTTATCAAGAGCCTCCAACTCTGCTAACCGAAGTCGAGCATTTTCTTCATCAGTGATCCCTTCTTGAATAGCTAGTCGTAACGAA